AAGGAACCATCTAAAAAAACAGGTAAATAAATACAAGAGAGGAAAGGACAAATACTAGATTCCTTTGCCTCAACTTCAGCAAGATGAGAATAAACCAGTCAGCATATTTGATTTCTAAAACATGCATAGCGTAAGTATAGGGGTTTACAAATCATGTCAGACAACAGATTGATGGTATGTATAGCCTAACTGTTCAGCTCAGAATTTACTGAAGACAAAAAGCTACATAATATGCTTGGAAAATGGGACAAATCACAGGATTCTAAGGAGATAGTAACCTTGACCACAAGATCAGAACTTCAAATTTAATCCACTTTGGTGAAGGTTGCCATCCTTACCACCCGACAATTACCGAGTTACCTACGTGACATTAACTAATAGCCAAAAGTGGTTCCATGAAGAGCCATTAATATCCTTTTCTGAATCTGTATATTCTATTTGTCAAACAAGAAAACTGTCAGCCAAAACAATCTTAACTTATCCAAATAAAATCATCCTGAATAAACAATTTACTCCTCCTGATCCTTCTCTCAATCAACAATATCTCCTCTGCCTGGAGACATGAACAAATTACAAGGCTAGCTAAGTTACAAACTTCCTGTAAATAAAACAGCAAGGTTGTGGTACAAGATGAGGTAATTCAAGGAAGTAGGGTAAGCAAGCTCTCGCTTACCACAGGACTGAAGTACACAAACGGCTGTTCCTGCGTTGCAGCTAACACAACCGAAGTCCATCCTGATGCTTACCCTTGTAACTTCTTAGCAAGTCTGCATTTCCAGAATAAAGAGGGAATGGGCTAAAAATTCCAGCCCGAGAAAGGCCTCTACTGAGAATGCTGTGTACTTTAATGTGCTAGTTCAGCGACTTGATTCAAGAACTGTAACTGACCTCAGTTGTCAACACAGACTTAAGGCAGAGAAATGGAACACTTTATAAACCTACTAACCAACAAGAACAGTAACAAAGGAGAACCTGATCTATCCATTGGACCATAGGTATAACACCTCCATAGAAGACTTGGAGAACGTAAGAATTCCGCACTAACAAAACCCCTTAATCAAGCTGTAAAATCTAAAAACATGCAATTTGAATCAAGACACCAAATGGCCAGATGCGCAAGAGAATTTAGCTAGACTTTCTGTACAGGAACGGGAGTGGTTTTGTGATCACCTTGAAGGACTTCCTTGACTCTGACTTTCCCTATCTTTCTACATCGACCCCAAAACCACGTCAGCTCTTCTCTTGCTGTCTTCACTTGTACTGCCCTCTACTTAAGAAATACCCATCTTTCATCTTCCTCTTCCACTTCTGCAATGCCAGTTAAAAACAAGTAGATAACTGATTTTGGCTGAACCAAGCATTTAAGATATTATTAAAAATAAGTATACACCCTGGTTTTATACTTTTCCCCTCATATAAAGGGCATATAGCAGAAAGCATGCGATATTAAAACAGACAATGAACAAGTTCCATCTCAATACGTATTCTTCCATGAACATGATTTACAGGTAAGCACAGGAAAGCTCGCACTTGTCTCCATTACTAAGAAATGGTCGCGTTAGCCCTGAAGACGATGTCCAGCATCTTGAATGAATCCAAATGTAATCTCCCCATTGCCACCTTATTCCTTCTCTAGTCTGATTATTATGCTTGATTTCTACACCTGGTTAATGTCTTTGTCTGAAAAAACCGCCAGCCTACAAAGCTGGGTTTTTTTGGATGCATAATTCTGGAATGCAGCACGACAAAAGGAAGTTTGGACTTCACAGAAACAACGCCTTCCAGCTTTAGTCTACTGCCCAATACACAACAAAGGGATGGGGGGGAAGGAAAACCAGCAAAACCCCAGACCCTCAAAGACACAGAAAGCCTTTCAAAAAGGGTAGATGTACCTGAACCAGTAATTTCAATAAGCCTGTGTTAATAATCTTTAAAAAGTAAAATCTGTGACAAAAAATACCTTTAAATTCCTTCATACATAGAAAAACTTCTGTGCAGCCTATATCTAGTACAGTTTACAGAACCAATGCAACATCAGCTCTTACTTCATTAAGCAAGAGGACTATGAGAGGACATAATGTTATACTAGACATCATATCCAGAAGGTAGACGCAATTCATATACAATAAACAAACTTGTAAGCTATACTTTCTCTGCTTAGCAAGACTCATCCCATAGAGTATAGAATGACAGCACCAACTACTTTTAAATGGCTATGATATGCGTTTAACATGGAACATAGGATAGCGAGGCACCACCAGCACAGTTTTGTTTTAGCCATTTGTGTATTATCTGACTGGCACACCATCTTGTTTCATCCACAAGATCTTTGAGAACTAAAATTCATGACAAATTCTTCACAAGAGAGTACTTTCAGTGCCATGTGGCAAATAAAGTCACGTGTATGTTGGCATTGGTTCCTCAACGTACCACCACTATAGAAGTTAAAAGATTATTCAATAACCCTAATAGGTTAAAAGTATACCAATCAAATACATATGCAGAATGCTCCCAAATGCAGCCAGTTTCTTTTTTCATGATGACCTTTTATCCAGAAATCACAGAGACACTAACAGAAAACAAAACAGAAATGTAAGATTGAAAACCACAGAAACTGGTCAGGTGTCAACATGAGAGGCTTTTGGCTTGCCTTTTTTAAAAACTAGACATCAATTTGACATTCATTTGAGAAACATCTTCAAAAACACTTATTTAAATGATCACTCCTATGTTTGTATTATAACATTAACAAATAATGTACTTAGGTTAATGCATGCATATTTGGAAGCAAAGAAACTAAAAACATTAACAGCTTCTTTTACTAACCAAGAATTAACGTGATTAAGTATGTTGAAGCACTGCAGAGCAAGCAGGTACCTAGTCATAAGGCTCAGCAAACAAGTATACCTTCATTCAACTTTAAACTAGGACATGGATACTGATAAAACACCACCAGTAGATGAAGTGGTGAAGACTTCAGAGTGCACTGAAGTCAAAGACGTAGACTTTAACTTATAATGGCATGAGGTATGAACTGCTGAATCAATGATTACACTTTTTTTTTTTTAAGCATTCTGACATACAGTCAGAATGCAGTTTGTATAGGAAACACAACTAACAATTTTACCACAGGAGAAACATTTCTATTGTACTCCTTTCCTCAAGCTTTAAACTCCATCAGTCAGGCAAAATAATACAGTTGTCACCTTCTGAAATACAAATTTAGAGAGCCTGAAGTAGCTGTGGTGATTCAGTGCACTTCATTACTATGTTTTGTTTTAAAATCCCTCCTCTCCAATCATCTCACAAGAACGGTCCAAACAAATGACAGTAAATATGTTAACTGCACCTTCTTCAAAAACTGTTTGCTTCACAAAAGACATCCTTGTATCACCACTGTTCCCCTTATGCAGGAAACGAAGTGGGTAATTGGAAAGAAGAAAGCAACTCTAGCAACTAGATATATTTACTAAAACACTGTTTGAATGATTGTACAGAGCACATAGCAGACTGTTTTTGAAAAGGTGACACTGAAACTGGCTTTAATTTATTGCTAACTAAGCAAAAACATAAGTAAATCTGGGTTTCATACAACATAGGGAAGTCAAAATAAAGCCTGTTTACATAATGCAACCATTTATGTCAAATTTCCTTTACCATGAAAAGTTCTTATTTCCTTTGCAACACAATGACTTCTGTACATAAAACAAACAAGATTTAAAAAAATCCACGGGCTCAGTGCTGAACAATCTTCCAGGAGTTCTGCTAAGAATGCATCTACAGTGAAAATGTTCCTTTACATACTTATGAATTCAAACACAAAAAACATTCATCAAGATTTTTACTCATCACTAAAATAGTTCAAACACTGTGTTTTGCTCCTCTTAGGCAAAGCGCTCCAAGTATATTCACAACTGGACAGTCTTTACATACTTTAAAAAAAAGATTCCTTAGACATTAAGCAAGCTTCAGGAGAAGCACAGGAGACTACCACAGTATACTGAATAGCTATAATCACTGCTAAAGATCTGGATGTAACATATGTATAAATCAAACATAACATCAATGACATTTACAAGAATGTAGACATTTCACTGCTTCTACCAAGACTTTTACCAGCTGTAAAACTATACTGCAACTCTGCCTCTGAGCTCAGGTGCAGACAGAACGGCAGGCATTCAATCCTCCATTCACTTCCTCTCTCTCTCCCATTCCCCACTATCTCCTTCAAAAAGCAGAGACTCTGGAAGCAGCATCATATCTTTCATTTGAATAGATTTAAAGATATTCCACACATGGCAGAGTCTAATCGCCACAAGACTGCTGTACCCCTTCCCAAAACAAAACTGCAAATTTTGCACAGAAGTTCTTGAAATACCACTTTTAAAATATTAGGTAATAAAACCAAATACTAAAAACCTCTTCACTCACCACCAAGAGTACACATAAAGTGGACATTAATCTCTATTAAAACTGAATCGCTGCAAATCAGGAATCCATTAGGTTTCTCAAAAAGGTTTCTCAGCACCAAACTAACATTATCATGGCCTTATGCTAACATCACACAGTATCTCAAAAATGTGAATATTGTTTTGCTCCTTTTCATCACTTCTGAAAGCTCTTAGTCAATATCCACCATGGCTCCCACAGTTTGAAGAACTGGGGTAGGGAGGTCAAGCTCTATCCAAGTAACAGGCACTCTCTCTGCCAGAGGAAAAAACTACATATTGTAAGGCCCTGTGAATAAGTAATTACAATGAAATGAATGTTTTATGAAGGAAATGCACTTGGTTTTAAAGGTCACAAAGTGACAGATAAGAGCACACAGTGGAACAAATCCAGCAAATTACTGATTGACCTGCAGGGTCAATGAACCCAAACAATAAATATTTCTGCTCTTTTAATAATTAAAAATGTCAAAACACAATGGCTGCAGACAAACAGTGTTAAGAATGCAGACAGGCCAGAAAATCTGCTTCATATTTAAACATTTCACTTACCTGTCCTGTGACTGCTCCTCATACATTCTTTCCTTTCCTTCTTTGAAGAGTCTTATAGCCCGTTTCGATTTTTTCATGAGACTGTCAATGTAGATTTTAAAATATTCGTTCTCACTAAGTTGTGCAAGTTTCTGGTTGTCATCATATTTGCTCAGTATAAGTCGCAAATGTTGATAAGTGTCAGGTAAAATGTCAAGTATATAAGGTGGGCTGTTTTTGAGTTGAAGCTTTGGGTTTTGGCACAATCTTACCTATAAAGCAAAAACAACAGAATGTAAAAGATAAGAAATACGTTGGGGCAAAAACTGATCTGACATGTTAAAATTAGTAGGTGTAAAGTATACTTCTCTAGCCTCCAAGGCACAAAGAATTAACTTCTACTTCATTTATATTCCATGAAATCCCAACATAGTCTTTAATGTCAAAGGATGTAAAATTTGACTTAATCCTATCACATCTATAAAAAGCAAACAGGCTTACTTACATAGTTTGGGGTTTTGCATTTAAAGTAAGAATGTCTTTGCCTGTCTACTATATGCTAAAAAGTATAGTATCAAAACACAGTATGCAACTAATGCCAAAAGCAGTAGCTTTGTACAGATCTGCCTGCTGCAGGTGAACTTCCCTTTGGATCTTTAAATGTTTACTAAGAACTGGCCTTATAAATTACCTTGTCATCTGCTGGCTCTTTTCTCTATCCAACAATATAATCTCTTAGAACCTACAGAAATTTAAAGTTTCAGAGGTCTACACGTATGAAAATGGTCTGAACGATGCCAGTGGTTCAAAAGCTATCAGGTATGACAGACAGAAATTAAGGAGCTCACAAAGAGATATCATAAACCAGGAAACAAGACATTATAAACTCAATGTTTTCCAGTTCATGGCTGTAATAGAAGATAACATCTTAATGGACTTGGAATCATCATGTTCCTAAATGGCACAAAAATTAATTGAATAATATGTATTACTTGAAAGAATAAGCTTTAGATTAATTGAACACCTTTATTTGAATCTAGTCTCCACTGGAAATGTTTCTGGGAGAAGGTGGTAGTAGTTTTGTTTCCTGAACACATAGAAGGTTAGAGTAATTATCTCCTGGCTACCTAAATTCTCTGGTAGTTTGTTCTGTAGTGTTTTGTTCTAGAAAGCAAAAAAAAGATCGAAACTAACAGGTAGTTTTTGAGTGCTAATGCATCCATGCTCAGCTAAAACACTGCACAGGGACGCATTCTTGACATGTGTGCAGCTTACATACGCAAATATTTATGAAAAAATGAAGTCCATGTGGTATGAAAGTTTTATAGGCATCATTTGGAGATTGCCACATTATATATTAGTGACTTTGACATTCTTTTGAGGTAACTAACGAGGCTGTAAAAACATCTTAATACTGCTGAAAGCGGATTCCTATTCATACCACTGTATCAACTTCAAAAAAGCGCAGCCTTGAGCACTATGGGGTGGCGGGGGGGAACAAGCTTGTATCCTATAACATTCACCTCTCAACTTAAAGCTGTATCACTATTTCTGACCCCTCCTTCAATTTCTAGGTCTACATCATTAAGATTCACTGCCTTAAGACTGTTGCCACTAACAGACATTCATGCACCACAAACAACAAAGCAAACACATAATTGTTTTTTTCCATCTGAAACATACCAAAACCACACCAGGCAATTAGATTTAGGAAACTGGGGTCATAGTTAGAAAAGTGGAAAAAGAAGAGTGGACAAAAGTCAAGCACTAACAAGTTTTAAAAAGGAACTCTAGCACCATTAGAACAGTGCAATCTCATAAGCACTATAGAAATGTAAGCACCATTCAAAAACAGTATTTAAACCATGACATTCGCAATAGCTCCCCTAATTTCACTGATCCACTGTTACTTTACTAATTTCTATTATTCTTTCACCTGCTAGACCAAGTAATGGATCAGGAATCCTTCTGATGCGTTGTACAACAGACAGTTCTTCCCACAGAGATATTTACAATCTCAGTAGGAAAGAAAAAGACAGCAGATGGATGCAGGCAAATATGAATACATGAGCATAACACTGTTCACCATGCTAAAGAGCAGTTCAGGGTACTAGCAGTTAGGTATTATCTAGATATAAACTGCAAAGTTTCAAGGCAAGCTCTAAAATAATTTAGTGGCTCAACGGAATTCCTCCTAAATTGAGGAAGAAGCTGGAAGGAAACAAAAAAAAAAGTAAAAAAATAAAGATGTTTAGTCATCTCTTCATGAGGTGACAAAGTCTGGAACTGCAATCCATAACTGCAAGAGCGAGACAGCAAGAGACTTTGAAACGGAAAATAATTTGTTTAAATTTCATGTGACAAAGAGAAGGTTATCAGGATAAAGAAAAGGACAACACAGTCCAAGTCATGGGTTAGGAGATGCCTGCAGCAGCATTCTCAAAGAATAAAGGTTGGATATGATGCCATTCTTTCAAGGTCAGAAAAGCAAAGCTGAACTTACTGATACACAAAACAGTAAGGCCTGGATGAGAGATTTCGGTGAATGGATTGATCTGAAAGATTCAGACACAACTTTTAAAAGAGCAGTTCAAGTAAAGGAGTTGCCTGAGTGAAGGCAGGATGATAGTGTCACCTCAGAAGATCAAGAAAGGAACTAACAAGAGAGACTTATGAAGGAGATTAAACATTCTCTTTTAGTTACGCTTAAGTTAAGCTGACAGAATTTTTTAACATTTCAGAAACGTGAGTAAAGAATTCTACATGTGTAGACAGATCTGAAAATCATCCATGCAGAGACATGCGTGAATTTCTTTTTGTAGAAGTTAAAAGAACTGGAATCCCAAAGACAGAAGTGAAAACTTTTATGAAAAACAGACATTTTTCATCTGAACTTTTGTTCTCTGTGATTTCTGATTTACTGAAAACTTGAAACAAGATTGACGTTCTTTGCAAAGCAAACTACAGATGACACAAATCAGTATCACTGATTAGGCGTTACAACCTTCTGCTGCAACAAGCACAAGGCAAAAAAAAAACAGCTTAAAAAAGAAAAATATTTGTTCAGGAAAAAAAGTCAGCAATGAGAGCAGACCACAAACAGAGAAGACCAGGAAATTCTGAATTGCTTATTTATCCTAACTTAAATCTCATGAACAAAGAATTAATTCACCTTCTGAAGTCTATCTTTCTGATCCGATGTGCCAACGAGCAGAATATAAGTGGTTTCATATATATTAGAAATATAAAAACAACAGGAAAAAGCAAATTGCTTATTCTGGTTGGTGTATGTTCAACACTCAGTCCACTCAACTATATAAAAATAACATCCAGTTATAGTGAAGAATTAGTTTCTCTTTCAGATGTTCTAGAAAGTCTTCTTCAGTCCAATATCATTACATACAATCATACACACACCAAAATAGGATCCTGTGGTCATAATGGTTTACAAGGCTTCATCTTCTGCTGAATTTAGAGATAAATACAGCACATTACTAGAACCTTCAACTCCAGAACAAGCCTTTAAGGAAAAGTCATACAAAAATTCCTCTACAGTACAACTCAATTAGTCTTACACACTCTCATTGAAAAAAAATGCTAACACTCAGTTCAAGTCAGTGATCCAGTGAAGTAGTACAATGCTTTCTTCACTTTACAAAGTACAAAAGGTCTCAGTCCAAAGGAAGTAAGTTTGTAAAGAGATGGCTGGTAAACCATATGGTTTCCAGAGTCAGGATGTCCTGACACGTACCACAGCAGTTCACAATTAAAAGTAAGCAGTAAGAAATGACATCTGCTGACGCAAAAGATAAACCAATGCACCAGAAGTGGCACACATACCTTTCTTCAAAAGAAAACAGAACACAAAACAAAAAAAAACAATAAAAATAAAGACCTCCATATTGCACTTTACAAAGCAACCCTCACCAACACTTTAAGAGCAGACATGAATCATATCACTGCGTGATTTGTGTATTGTTACGACTGGAAGTAAGCACATATATATTTAGCAAGCATGCAGTCTAAAAAATGAAAAGCAGTCAGTCAGCAAGTTAGTAAGAAAAGTCTCTCGCGCTGAGGTAAACTGAGACAAAGCTAAGCTCCTTTCACTGCCTCAGTCAGGGTATCCAAGTATTTACACCACAATCATAGAAACAACAGAGTGCAATTCTAATTGTGAAGAACTAAGGCATTACCCTCATCTACCAGAAACATATTTTGAAAAAATTAACTTCCAGACAAGCTTACTCTAGTGCCTATGGAGAAAAAAATCCAATCCCCTCTTCTCTACTCTCCTCCCTGCCCCCCCCCGCCCCAACAAAATAAATACCACTGCTCATAACATTTTTTAAGATATTTGACTTAAATTATAAAGCATTATTTCATAGCACCTTCAGAGACTCGAGTTATGGTTGCCTATTGTATTTAGACAATTTCTTACAGAAAACTGTAGCTTCTATTCACTCCTTAAAGCAAACAATAAAGTTGAAAGCCCTGGACTCGTTTGACAAAAGAACTTTTGTTCACGCCAAGTATAGCAGCCCTAACACAATCTGTTTAAACACCTAATGCTAGTGAAAGACAATACAAGGAAAGTAACACAGCTAAAACAGAGTATCTAATGAGTAGGACATCCGCTAAGCACTGCTTCAGCTGCACTGAATGGACTAGAACAACCAGAGCACCAGTACTCACACACTTCCGAACCTACATCTCAAAACTGTCTACTGAACGAGTTATCTTCAGTACAAAAAAGTCAAAGTATTAAAAAAACCACTGTGACACACCACAGACAGCATGAAGGTAGCTCTGCAGTAAGATATGGTAACGATTCTCCAGAAAACCACAGCACAAAATACTGCCAACAACGAATCCTGAAGAACTTAATAAGGGAGGAGTTAATCAGTAAAATGGATGAAACCTGAACGTTATGCTCCTTGATCACATATTACTTCCTGCCAGAAGTTACTTTAACTGCAATGGATTTTGTTTTCCACAGAAAGATGGGTTTTCTTTCCGAAGGAAGCCTTTTCATCAAAATCTAAGTAGATACGACTGATCACCGATCTTTTCAGCTGGCAATACAGTAAGTGCTTGTTGAACAGCTACCACATGGCAACTGAGCCACATGTTTCCACACTGGAGGAGTAAGCAATGACAATGCTGATGCTACATATGCACATGGACAGCTGACTTTGGAGGGTCATTTATATTTTCTTCTGATTAGAAAAAGAGAAGCTTCCATTTCTCTGCTTAAATTCTTATTCTTTTTCCACAAACAGCATCTGCAGGACATAAAACTTCCTATCAACTTTGACCAGGTAACACACTGAAGAATACCATGCGTATCGTTGATGATTGTCTCTTCTAGATCCTTTGTGGAACAATGACATTTAACTGACTCGGAAAGTTGCACATTAATGTAACAAATACATACATTGTTGCAAAGAATAACCAATGCACACATAGTTTCAACTACTGTGCTCTGTACACTCACTTAGATGCTGTTGAAAACTTGGATGCTGAGAAATGTCAATTTAAAGAAAACCACAGTATTAAGTTACAGAGGTAATACAGCTTTTACTTACAAAGTCAACAGTATGAGCTTCGGAGATGCACTCTGATTTGCTCCTAGGTAATTATTAAGTAGCAAATCAAACTGCCATCCCCATTTGTACAGACTCAAACAACGGGGTGGGCCACGACAGAGCGCCCAAACAGCTTAAACAATATCGTTAACCTTCACAGTAAAAAATATCATTATTTCCAGGCCCAATGCATAAGAATACTGAAAAGTGACTGAAAGTTGCTGAAATATTCCCGTTTTAAAAAATGCAGTTCAGAATGTGTCACAATTTCATCGGCCTGAAACCTACAATAGTGAAGTGTGCACAATAGTACTGCCAATTCTAAATAGCACAAGCATTCAATTAACTTAACTACTCCTGTGTTTACATAATAGGCATTCTGTCCCAAAGTTGTTCTCAAGATAACCACTATCCTCTAATAATAATAATAATACACAGCTAGTTTCTAGGTTTTAAAATCATTAGGTTTAGAATCTCAGGAAAAAAAAAAATTCCATGTAATTTATGCAAAGTTTAAAGGAAGCCTTAGAGCTATTCATTACCAATTTATTTTTTTATTTTATTTACAGGATATGAACTTTCTAAAATACACATCAGTAATTTGCTTGCTAAAACTTCAGAGGTACGCCATCAACTTGCTTCTACAATACTAGCACTGGAAAGCAGGGGTAGCCTTCCAAACCATAAAAGGAATATTATCCTTTGCAGTGCAAAGGAATTAAAGAAAATATTTTTGGTTCTTAATGGTAAAGCTACTGCTTACCCATGAGAAAAGCAGCAGGGAAACGGGACATTGATGCTAACAGTTGATGTCCCTTTAATAATGCAGTTAGTGTTGTAAACTCCTATAAAAAAGACGTAACAGTAAACCTCAAAAAGTACAGATCCCAGCGGATGAAGTGTAAAAAGGAAGATGCAGATGTAAGATAGACAGATAACAATTCACATTTACTGATTACTTACAAGATTATTATTTTTTTTTTTACTCCCTGAAAGTATGTTGCTTACAGTGACTTTTACAAACAGGGCTCTAACCAGGAGCACTAGCCCAACATCCTGGATGTCCTGCTAAAGAACTCTTTCACAACCCTTGATTTTTTTTATTTTTTTTTTTCCAAACTGCTAACATAAGTCTGAAGAGAAGACACTTAAGCAGAACTGCAACCTTCTGCCTATCCTAACAGCTGAAGCACCAGCCCATGGAAAACAAACATTACCAGTAAATCTGAACAATTCCAGAGCATGACGTATAACCAATTCTACACAGAGATGTTTGCATGGTATCTAAGTAGCCAGAACTACTACATACACCATAAAAACACTCTCACAGTATAGTTCTTATAGAGTAGAAATATTCATAGTATTGGTTAATCATTTATACTTGTTGAAAACAAAGAATTCATACAAAAAGTATCATCTGCCAAAGGAGGAAATCACAGAAAGAAATTAAGAAAAGGTTCAGAATGGCAATTTTAAGAAAGAAATAAATGAAAACCAGAAATTATTGAGTTCTGCTCCTAGTTTTTAGGACTGCTCTTTTTTCATCCTTTGGTCAAGATAATAGCTTTGCTTTGTTTCCAGGCTCCCTTTCCCTAACGTCTTGAGAATGGGAGAAAACTTTAGCTACTTCATTGCAGCAAAAAGATGGTTATCACAGCTATTATAGTTAAAGAATAGACAAGGATGATGACTGTTATTACAACAAGCAAAATAGGCCTCAAAGCCACAACCTTACCTTGGGTGGCACCCTACTGACTTTGCAGAGCCTACCGCCTTCACTAGGTATTAATTTGATCAGTGACCCACCACAGAAATCTGTTGTAGGACACACTCCAGGAACGGGATTTGAAACAACAGTTGATCGAGCAGCTTTCTATTTCCGATTTTAATCCCTGTTTTCGATCTAGGCAGAGGAGAAAATGCCCTTCCTATGCCTACTGCCACATAAGGCTAAGAGACATAAATTTGTTTGCCAACATATTAAATTTGCTCAAACATATCCTTTCACTGTAAGTATCAAATGCTAAAAACTCAAGCAGCAAGCTACAGCATTCTCACACTATGACATCATCCTGTCTGGTATACTTTAATATAATTTGGAAATAAAATTTGATTAACTGAGAGCAGCTTAAAGAGGATACATTAAAGATCCAAATTGAGGACACTTATCCAGTAAAATGAAAAAGAAAGCACAGTGCAATGCCCAGTCCTTCCAGTGACTTCTACAAAACAGGCCTTACAGGCTGTTCTGATGCTCTGTCGTAATAGTGACAAATACAGTTATCCTATATTAGCTGTGCAGACACAATTCAAGTCCAGGCAGTGGGGTTAAGATTTTCTGGTGACCGTGAATACACAAACCCATGAGGGGACAACCTTACGATACAGATTTGTAAATGGCCTGACACAGGGGGAAATTAAGCCATTCATTCCCCACGTGGTTTCAACAACGCACCAGATTCCTGGTTTCCAAGCCAAAAACATCTTTCTACTGAAGAAGAGTACCTGCTTCCAAGTATTGATACTTGCAGTTCTTATTACACGATGCTCACTGTTTACAACATCCTGATCACTAACAGGGAAACGTCAACAGTCTTTGTGATAATAACCATTTCTATCAAGGCTGGGTTTTAAGTTTATAACCATCATCAGAAATTGTGGTGGAAATATAGATGCTATTCTTGGAGTATCAAAAAGGACTCAATCAAATACTTCAAAATTACCACTTGTCAAGACAGACTACATGAAATAATCTCCACCATGTCAGTATAACTACTTACGAACTTCAAGAAACGTTAAACATCTGCATTTTACAAAAGCCACAGGGAAAGCGAACACTTACACTAATTCGTGAAGAATCACTAAGTTAAAACATCATAACTCTCTTGCCATACAGACCCAAGGTTTACAGGTAGCAATCCTCACTCCCCAGGAGTTTCAAGAGGAAGCCCTCAAGTTATCACCTCATACGCAAAACAGAGTGCCTGCATCTCCTGAAGAGTTATTCGTGTTATAATCAAACTGTTCCTACCACTGGTAAGGAACTCTCCAAACTAATCTATCATCATACAAGCTGATATTTTGTACACAGCTAAACAAAATATATCAGGCTGGTGCAGAGAACTACAAGATCTAAAAAACTATAGTCTATGCCCCCCACTTCCTGAAAAATGAGTTTCTGTACAGTGTGTTTCTAGTTTCAAAATGAAGAGTAGAAGTACTTAAAAATCATTAAAATGCAGAACACACACTTAAAAGTTAGGCGTGCCATACTAATCTGTTTACTAAACTGACAAGAGTGACATCCCCCAGTCCCCACGCACATTCCTAAAAGCACAAACATATCTATGTTGCCATCATGAGCATGTCTCACAGGACAATTAGCTTAACTGATGCTTCATACTTCAGAGGTCTTGTTTGCAGACTAACAATGTGACCCAACACGAACCACACAGAATATGTGATTACAAGTCTAAGTTAAGCAGTTTTTTGTTAGGACAGCTCTTCAAGTTTGAGTCATTTTGAAGGATCTGAAAATAACAATAGCCTAAGGCAAACACACACATTTTGTTTTCCCTCCACAAACCAAGATTAAAAAAACATCGCCAGAGGCCACAGGGGAAGGGAAAAAAAAAAAAAAAAAAAGACAAACGGTGCTTAAATAACCTAAGACATAAGTCCCCTTACTTCCCGAGGCACACGCAGCATAGCAGTTAAGAGCTGCAGGAAGACGCCGTTTCCCCACGTGTACCTATTTAAATAGCCCCATTCTTCACCGTGTGTATACACAAGACACTCACCACTTTGTCCATAAGCTTCCAGGTCTTCTCCACAGTCCTCCGGTCGGCAGCTGCCTGCTTGGGGGGGCCCACAGCATCCTGAATGGCATCAATGAAGCCCAGGATCCGTCCCTTGCGCGGGTTCCGGCCGTTGAGGGAATTGGCCATCTGGGAGCCAAGCTGGCCGCAACGACAGAGAGAGACAGACTCACAAGGTGCTCCGAAAACATCTTGTCATAAAACTCGCCGCAGCCAGTGAGGTAACACTTCCTTCTTCACGGGCAGGAAAGGGCGAGACCAGAGCATGTTTAGGAACAAGTTTTAACTTTTCACGACAAACACCGTAAACCCACCTGGCCCGAGTTTACACCGGCAGAAGCGATCCCGGATTTATCGTCAACGCCAAGAGGCGGGAAGAGGAACGCACCCG